CATACCGACCAACGCCACAGCTACAGCTGAAGCAACTGCTCGACTCTTCTTCGACCGCATCATCACCATCCACGGCATCCCCGCTACACCCATCTCAGACAGAGACCCAAAATTCACCAGTAAGTTCTGGAAGGAGCTCATGGGACTGTTGGGGACAAAGCTTGCAATGTCTTCAGCATACCACCCCCAGACTGACAGACACACAGAGCGACTCAATCAAGTGGTTGAACAGTTACTGCGCACAGCTTGCAAGGACGACGTCAGCCACTGGGACACACTGTTACCAACCCTAGAGTTCGCTTACAACAACGCATCACATGCGGCCACAGGGAAAACTCCTTTCTTCCTGTGTTACGGACGGGAACCACTCACACCACAGTAGCCAACTACACCGTCACACGTCCAAGCCGCACATGACTTCGTCACCACCATGCAGCAGCTATGGGAGAAGACTCAGCGACGTCTCACCACGATGCAGAACTCCCAGAAGCAGTATGCCGATCGTCAGCGACGTGATCACTCTGTAGCAGTCGGAGATCAGGTGCTTCTTGACACGCGCAACTTGAACCTGTCTCACCTTCCATCCAAACTCCGGCCTCGCTTCTGTGGTACTTTTCTCGTTGAGGCACAGGTGACACCAGTTACATTACGCTTGCGCTTACCAGATACATGGAAGCTTCACAACGCTTTCCATGTCCAGCTACTAAAGCCCTACAAGGACCCCAACCAACAGTTTCAGGGACGGCAACTACTGCCACCACCACCTGTTCTCATACAGGATGAACCCGAGTACGAGATCGAGCGCGTTCTCTCTCATCGGCGCCGCGGTGGCAAGACTCTCGAGTTCCTGATACGCTGGAAGGGATACGACCCCACTGAGGACAGTTGGGTTTGAGAAGCTGATATGGGCAACGCACGCCATGCTCTCAAGGACTATCTTGTCAAGCAGGGTGTATCTCACGCCACCAAGCTTTGAGGGGGGGACGTGTGAGAGTACGACGGCTTATGCCAGCTATGCTTGCTTGCCTCTACTTTATCATGCTATTTCTAGCATAGGATAATCATATGCATGCATGAATTGCTTGATTTCCTAGGCTAGGTGCTTTCCTATATTTTATTATAGTTATAGCACCGAGCTAGGTTGCGTGCACCGAATTCTGGCTTTTCGGTTGCCACCGAATTGCCTTCTACTGAATTCGGTAAGGATCTGTTCGGGACGGTTCGCGACCCGCGGAACCTTCGCGTAACACCTGGTTACGGGGCCTTGTGTCGAGCCTATATATAGCCTCGTGTTGTACCCAGGTGATCATTCAATTCAATTCAATTTGAATCATCTTTTCTGAGCTCAATCCCAGATCCTCACAGCCGACTGTCGTGCTAGCCACGACGCAGTACAACCACAAACGGGGCATATGCGGCAAGATTCCTTGCCAACAACGCTTGGACCTCACCACATCAGCTCCTCTGCGGGGAGATCTTGACTGTTTCTCCTCTTAGCATGCAGAGGAACCCGGGCCGCGAAGTTGGAGGGGTCTCGGGCAAGGGTTTCAAACATGTGTCATTCTCCCTGTTTTTTTCGGATTTCTTGTTTCCCATCGGCCTGCCTTAGCCATGGCGGGCCTACCAGGTACCCATTTCCTCTTTAGGCACCGAGTTGCTGCTGACTAAGCTCCCGATTACTCCCAGTGGCAGAGTCTTCCAGCGCCAATACCTCCTGCTCCTCCTGCGCCTCCTGCTCCTCCTGCGCCTCCTGCACCTCCAGCGCCTCCTGCTCCTCCCGCTCCGCCTAACGTCATCATCAACGGTGTGCCCGTTCTGCAGCTTCTCCCTCGCGGCTACTCTGCTTTCGATGCGTACATCTCCGAGCCCGAGCACGAGCCCGAGCGCAGCGACGAAGATGAAACCGGTCCCGGTCTTTCGCCACGTTGGGGAGACCCGGAAGACTGCCCGCACGACGAATCCGCCACCGGTGCCGAAGACGATGTTGAGTGGTGGGCGGCCGACGGTCTTCTCGAGGACTTGCCTGTCCCAAGTTTTCCCCTGCCCAATAAAAAAAGGCCCCACCCCTGCACCAAGAATCGTGATTCCCGCCCCCCGTCTCCCAGGAGCAGGCGCTCAAGGCACAAGCGGCACTCCTATACTTCTCAGGAGAAGCTGCACTGGATTTCACAGCTGGAGTCCGGTGCTGTGAGTGTGCGGAAGATGGCACGCGACTCTGGTATCTCCTGAAAGTCCCTGGCAGAATGGATATCGCGGAAGGGTGAGCTGGAGGGCGCGCATGGGGCTCGCAAGCGTCTTCACGGGCGTGGTCGGTCGTCGTGGTACCGCGACATGGAGATCCAGGTCTACTCACGAGTACTTGCCGCCCGAAAAAAGTGCCTCGCAGTGTCGGTCGGCCGCCTGCAGCAGTGGTCGCGAAAGGTGATGAAGAGCCTGCATCCTGAGGTAAAGTGGTCGGGATCTCAGAGGTGGACCGAGCGTTTTTTGCGCCGCTGGAATCTCACTACCCGAGCGAAGACCCGTGTCGGCCAGAAACTATCCTCCAGTGAGTGGGTGTTGTTGTCTTCGCTCTTGTTTATCCCCTTTGCCAACCGGTCGATGTGCTAATGTTTTTTTATGGTTTCTGCCTCCCCGTCCCTTCCAGAGTGCGAGACGCAGGTGCGAAGCTTCCGGAAGTTTGTGCGACACATCCGCCGATAGTACGGAATCGACAACCGCTGGATCATTAATGCGGATCAGACCCCGCTCTGGCTCGAAATGCCAGCTGAACGCACTGTCGAGGAGGTGGGGGTCCGCTCCGTGCCCATCCGCAGCGGCGGCTATCAAAAGGAACGCGTGACGGTGATGCTCGCCTGCACTGCCAGCAGCGAGAAGCTCAAGCCCTGGGTGTTCTTTAAGCGCAAGACAGTTCCAAAGGGGAATTTCCCCTCCGGTAAGCCGAGCAGCTTGTGCAGTCCCGGTAGGATTTGCATGTGTTGTTTTTTTTTACTGATGTCAATCTCAACGTTGTGCGGATGTGCAGATATCGTGGTCGCCGCACATCCCAACGGTTGGATGGACGCGGACGGCGTCCTCGCGTGGCTCGACGGTACGGTGGGCCCGTACGTCAACCCGAGGTTCGGAGTGCGCAGCAGGAGGGCGATGCTGGTGCTTGACTCCTACCGCGGGCACCTGACTGATCAAGTGAGGGCGAAATTCGGCGAGTTGCGTATCGTGCTCGCCGTCATACCAGCTGGCTGCACATCGGAGGTGCAGCCGTTGGACGTCGCGGTGAACCGCTCCTTCAAAGCAGCTGTGCGACAATAGTACCAGGAATGGTTTGAGAGTGAGGGTGTTGACTGCCTGACTGAAAGAGGTGAGATTTAAGATTTAGGACTGATTGTTTTTCAATTATTGACCCTGTTCTAACTGATGAATCTTTCTACGTGTGGCAGGCAACATCCGCAAGCCACCACCTGAGCTGACGCTCAAGTGGATCTCCAAGGCCTGGAAGGCGGTGCCCAAGGACTTGATTGAGCGTTCGTTTCTGACCTGCGGCATCAGTAACGCCTTGGACGGGTCTCAGGACGGTCTCTGCCTGCAGCACCGGCGGGACGCCGTCAAAGGCGAAGTGGATCTTGACGACGAGATTGCAGCAGATGGATTCTGCTGCAACAACGTACACGAGCCAGAGTCAGACGGTGAGACCGCCGACGAAGGCACCGCCACTGCTGAGGAGGATGCCTAGGTTGTGTAGGTAGAGTAGAAATGTGTAGGACGTGAAAATGTGGTAGAAAATGTAGAAAATGCGAAGATGTAGTCGGATATTTAGAGAAAACGTAGTATAGCAGTAGGATACTAATTGTAACAGTTTAAAACTTAAAAATCTAATTTTTAAATGGTGGCGCTTATAATGTGTAAGGTAGTAGGGGTGCGCTTATAATCCGTAAGGCTCGAAGCATGCGCTTATAATCGAGGAGCGGATATAAGCGCCCTCATCCTTTTATAAGCGCCGGCGCTTATCCGAGGCCTGCGCTTCTATCCGGGGGCTTACGGTATTGTGTTCAGCCCGTATCCCAAACTACTCTATTTTTCCATTCAAGTCTTGATTTGGCGAGAGTAGTCTTTCCGCATCGCCACGACTGGGATGGCCGTGCGACTGCTGCCCGTCGCAGGGGCCGCAGATTCCACCTCCCGCGCCGTGTGCGAATCCCATGAACCAGCACCCACCCTGCGTGCGATCGAATTGCGGCCATGGCCGTCGTCGCTGGTCGTACCACGCGTGCCACCAGTACCGTCGTCGCAGTCGTCGCCGTCGTCGTGGGCTGTAGCGCCGCTCAGATCGACTGCGCGGGTGCACGCTCCGATACGATGCCGCCAGGCCATAGTGAGTGGGTGTAGCGCAGTCCCCCGGCGTGTCGACACGCGGCTCTTCCCATGCCGCGGCGGCGGCGGCGGCGGCGATGCCCGTTACTCAGGAATGCGAACCTTGTGCGGAACTGGCGAGGATTGGCGAGGCTGTGGCGGGAAGTGGTGTCCGTTGGTGAGGGGGGGATGATCTAGACTTTTCAACCTCCCCTTTCGCCCTCCCCTTTCTACATCTCCCATTACATTCCATCTGCACACGAGTCCCCCTTTCCCATTGCTGTCACCTGCGTTCCCTCCTCGCTCCTCTTTCTTCCCCTCACTCCCTGTCCCACATCAACTCCCCAAACCCCGCTTACCGCCCACTGTTCCCTTCCACCCTCACCAATCTGCTGCCCCCGCTCCCTCTCCGTGCCTTCCCGTCCGCCCGCCAGTCGCTCCATGCATGCCTCCGTGCCACGCATACCTGCTTCTACAATCCACTCCCCACAATCTCCTCCTCCCCCTGCCACGCCACGCGCGCCTGCTCCTCCCCTTCCCTCCCACACCCCCCACCCTCACCCCTTCTCCATCGCGCTGACCTTCATTCCCTCCTCGCTGCCATTCTCACAGCTGCTAGCGACCTGACCCTCCGTCCGCACCCCCTCTCCCCTTTCATGTTACACACCCCCCGTTCTTCCCCCCTCCCCGCGCCGCCTGCCAGTGTGGGAGGTATCAGGGGGCAGGCATCAATCGCCAGGTACACACCTGAGTGCCTCGCAGGGCGCACAGCTGCTTGTGACCTGTCCTCCGCCCACTCCTCTCTCCTCTGGCCCTCCCTCATCTTGCATTACACTCCCTCCTTCTTCCCACTTCCCAGCGCTGCCCATCAGCGTGTGTGGTATAGGTGGGCAGGCCGCAGGCATCGCTCACTTTCTCTCCCCCTGCCCCCTCCTCCCCACTTCCCCCTCACCTTCGCTCCCAGTGCTGATCGCTAGTGCTCGTGCTCGCTAGTGCGGTGGGCAGGCACAGCTCACAGGGTGATCGCGGTGGGCAGGCACAGCTCACACAGCACGCAGCGGACTCCGCCCTCTCCCCTCCCTCCCTGCCTCTTCCGCATCTCCCACAACCCCATTTCCCCACCCAGCCGCCTGCCAGTGCGTGTGATATCGGTGGGTCGGCGGCATGGCTCGCAGGGCACACAGCTGCTTGTGAAGCACCACGGCCTCTCCCTATCCCTGCCTCTTCCGCATCTCCCACAACCCAACACCCCACCACGGTCCCACCCTGTCTCCCCCCCTTCCCAGCGCCGCCTGCCCGTGCGAGTGATGTGGGCCGGCACGGCTCGCAGGGCACACAGCTGTTAATCAAAGACTCCACCCTCCCCCCCTGCCTCTTCCGCATCTCCCCCACCCACCCTCCCCCCCTCTTCCCCCTCCCCCTCTTCCCGTCTCCCCACCATCCACAGCGCCGCCTGCCAGTGCGAGTGATATCAGTGGGCAGGCACCGCTCTCAGGGCACACAGCTGCTAGTCAAGGACTGCGCGGAAAAGATTTCCCGATACTGCCCGTTTGAGGACCTGTCCGTGCGCTCAAACCCCAAAGGGACCAGGTAGGCGTGGTTTCGGTACGGGCAGGTGAAACTCCAGAAAGGTTTCCCTATGCCTGGTCCTGCATGCCAATCACACGCTCACACTGAAGCTGCTTGAAGCAATATTCCCGTTCTCCACTCTGCGCCGTCGCCCTTATTTGTTCCCGTATCGATTTTCTCTTCTTCCTTCTCTTCTCCCTTGCTGCTGCTCCCACTGCTGCTGCTGCTGCTGCTGCTGCTCCCACTGCTGCTGCTGCTTCTGCTGCTGCTCCCACTGCTACTGCTGCTGCTCCTGTTGCTGGTAGGCAGTGACGTGCGCGTGCAGGTGGAGGCGGAGGGCGAGAAGGTTCTCAAGGCACTACACCGCGATGACTGGGTGAGCTGCTTCAACTGTGTCAACATATGCTCCTTCGTGCTTGGTTGCTGTTTTGTAAGGCTTGGCCATCGTTTATGGTTGAAGTGGGTACAAGGTTTGTGCAGAGGCTGCTGTGACAGGTGGAGGAGATCAAACATTCACCACTAAAGCCACTAGTCCCACGGGTGTATGTTTGACCAACGACCAACAGCCGCTAGTGACTGTTTCACCTTGTAACCATGCTGTGTTTGTGCTCTAAAAGGCTTGTTGTGATTCTCAAGGGATAGGTACTTTTCGTGCCTTGTAACCTGCCGGCGCCCTTTCTGTGCATGGCAGCACGGGCAAGCGTACCACCCGCCCCCCTCCCCTGCTTCCGCTTCCAATGTTGAACTCCTCCCTCTGGCTCCGCCATCCCCTCCTGCGTCTCCATCCCCCCCCCTTGCCACGTGGTAATGCTGGGTGAGCGCGGCCGCACAGGGAACCTGAATGCTTGAGTGACCGTAAAGTGTGGGTATCTGTAGCGTCAGCCGCGCCCCCCTTCCCCTGTCCTGGCGGTGCTCCTCATTCCCCCCGCCCCGCCAGGTGGTGCTGCTGGACGAGCGCGGCCGCACGGTGACGTCAGAGCAGCTGGCGCAGCTCATTGCTGACTGCGCTGATGCGGTGAGATGTGCTGTGCTGTGCAGTGAAGGGAGAGACATGTCACTGCCTGCGGATGCCTGTCCGGCCATGCATGCACCACCCGTGCACCTATGCCCACCCATGCACCTATGCCCACCCATGCACCTATGCCCACCCATGCACCTATGCCCACCCATGCACCTATGCCCACCCATGCACCTATGCCCACCCATGCACCTATGCCCACCCATGCACCTATGCCCACCCATGCACCTATGCCCACCCATGCACCTATGCCCACCCATGCACCTATGCCCACCCATGCACCTATGCCCACCCATGCACCTATGCCCACCCGTGCACCTATGCCCACCCATGCACCTATGCCCACCCATGCACCTATGCCCACCCATGCACCTATGCCCACCCATGCACCTATGCCCACCCATGCACCTATGCCCACCCATGCACCTATGCCCACCCATGCACCTATGCCCACCCATGCACCTATGCCCACCCATGCACCTATGCCCACCCATGCACCTATGCCCACCCATGCACCTATGCCCACCCATGCACCTATGCCCACCCATGCACCTATGCCCACCCATGCACCTATGCCCACCCATGCACCTATGCCCACCCATGTCCATCCATGTCCATCCATGCGCCCATGCCCATCCATGCACCCATGCCCATCCATGCACCCATGCCCATCCATGCACCCCAGTGCATCAGCTGCACTGCAAACCTCGCCTTTCTGGCCTCCTTCCTTCAACTCCTCCCTCCCTCCCTGCCTCCCTGCCTCCCTCCTGATCATTTTCCTTCCCTCAACTGTTCGGCCTCCCTTTTCTATTAAATCCTCCCAGTCACACCGCTCGCTGACATTCGTGGTGGGGGGCCCCTACGGCCACGGGTCACAGGTGACAGCGAGGGCCAACAGGTGGCATGTGCGGCGCTGCTGAAACCACATGCCTCCTCACTCCCGCCCCCACCACCCTGCTCACCCTGCCCCTCCAATCCCCCATTCTCCCACCAGTCGCACCGCTCGCTGACATTCGTGGTGGGGGGTCCTTACGGCCACGGGTCACAGGTGAAAGCTCGGGCCAACAGCAGCATTCGCCTGTCCTCGCTGGTGCTCAACCACGAGGTGGCACTCGTGGTGCTGGCAGAGCAGCTGTACCGGTGAGGGTGGCGCATGGGAGAGGGGTTTGAGGGGTTCGTGTGGGGGAGGGGTGGGGGTGGAGTGTGTGTGTGTAGGGGTCAGGGCCAACAGCGGTGTGCGCCTCTCCTCTCTCCTCAACAGCAGCGGGGGGGGGGGGGGGGGAGGGGTGGGTTGTGCGTAGGGAGAGGGGTGGGGTAGGAGGGGGGTGGAGCGTGTGTGTATGTGATGGAGCCGATGGAGCCGACAGCAGCGTGCGTGCCTTGATGCTCATCACATCACAGTTCCTCACTCCCCCTGGTGTGCTGTGCTGGCTGGCAGGGCGTGGACCATTCTCAAGGGCGAGAAGTACCACCACTGACCAACACCCACCCACTCGTCCAACTGCTCCGCTGCTCACTCGAAGCCACTCCAGCACTGTCGGGCAGCTAAGGATGTGGCCATCACAGCAGGCAGGGAAGCGAGCATGGGAGGCATGTGGAGCATACGGTATCAGGGCTCTCGCTATCAGACCAATTTGGTCTGATGGTCTGAGTTTAAGACTTGATTTTTTGTATTCATCTGCTTCCTAAGAATCTGTGTTTGTTCTCATCTGATCAGTAAGATAAGCGTTTTAGGTTCGTATGATTTTTCCAGACGTGTAGAATTTTTAATCTGAATATACAGATATCGAGTTCGGTTTCGTCTGAAACCGACATCTTCACCCACTAGGCCATATGCCCAGTGGACCAGAGAATAGAACCACAGGTACAGCCATTTGCTGCTCTGTAACAGCACGCGCATTCAATACGCGTGTCTTATAGCAGCCTCGCTGTCATGTAACTGCGGCATATGCTGCCAGGAGTTTGTCGTGTGGCTGGCTGTCGGCGCCGACGCCAGCCACAGCCACGGCAACGCGTTGTCCCGTTGTGCCACTGCCAGCGCATTTGCATTTCCTAGAAGTCACGCAACATTGCACTGTGGTCGTAGTGCCCCCCACTCCCAACACGCAGCGCCTTTCGGTTCTGAATGCAGTGCACGGTGATGGGGTTTCATGCAGCTGGGTGAGGCTTGAAAACAAGCATGTTTCTCCTGCTTGTCCGCAACTCTCACTCAGCCGAGCATGGACCGTATCCCTCCCAGCGTCTGTTTTCCCAGCGTTTAGACTATGGCCGTCCCCGCCGGCGGACCATGCGATGCGGAGCCCGTGCTTACGGCGTTAGACTTCCTAACGCGGGGCAAGCAGATCGCTTCTGTTGCCCCACCGATTGCGTCGACCTCTATTGCGGTCCCTTTGCCCGAAGGCGATGCTCCAATCTCGGTAAATGGCGATCATTCCGTGCCATCAACCGCTACCCCTACTACGCTAGTAACTTCTCGGATGCCAAACAACGATGCAAATAAGAGCATCCCTGTAGTATCTGTCGCTACTACTTCTCTCAGTGCTAACCCCGTCTTGCCCGACAGATCATTAAATAAGCGGTATAAGCAGCGGGTTCTCACCGTCGGACGTCCGGGCGGTCCAACTCAGCCAGCATCGTCAGTTCTTCCGCCTCCCGCAGAGCCTGAACCCGCGAATGAAGACTTCGAAGATCCGAAAGGCAAGCAGCTGTCGGTTGAGGAGCTTCAGTTGAAGTGCAAGCAGCAGTGGCAGCGGTATTTTCCTTGGCTTCTCATCTCCGAAAACAAGGCCGGCCGCCCCTGCATGCGCTGCAGCGTCTGCATGGTCTTCGGGGACCCCAACTACAAATACGGGCGCAACGGCGATGGTGGCATCGACATTCAGAAGCAGACGATGCGCAAGCATCACCACAGTCTGAAACATGAGGCCGCGGTTTTGAGGAAGGAGGAGCGCGACGGCGTGAAGAAAGTGCAGAAGTCCATTGCTGACTTCCACCGGGGGGACGATGATGTCAAGCGTCTTGCTCGCTTGATGGCTATCGTGTTATTCATTTGCAAGTCTGACGCTCCCATTGTGCTATTTGTGGCTTTGGTTCAGTTCATGGCAGAGCAGGGGACTCCGGATCTGCCCCTGAAGGAGAACGGGACGTACTACAGCGAGTAAGTGTCCCGTTCAAAACTTCTGCTTTGTGTTCCGTGGGTTTACAATACTAACGAGTTTTAACCCCGCGTGTCTCAGGTACGGCTTCGCACAACTAGTCGAGACCATGGTGTGCTACCTGAAGTCCCGCCAGCTGAAACACATCCGCGATAGTCCGTACCTTGGCATCCAGTTGGACGAGAGCACCGACCGACGGCGGGGGAAACACATGATCGTCTATTTGACGTTCATGCGTGACAACGCTCCCGTCATTGAGTTCTTCGCCTTGCTCACTGTGGATCAGTGTGACGCCGCGTCACTCACTACAGTTCTCTTGACTCATCTGGAGAGTACCGGCATCGACCTGATGCGCCTCACCGGTATGAGCACTGATGGTGCTTCTGACATGCTTGGACAGCACAACGGAGTCACAGCGCGCCTCAAAGTCAAGGTTCCTCATCTTATGTCGTCCCACTGCATCGCGCACAAGTAAGTTTGTTGCTTCGTGTTTTCCATACTTTTTAAAAAAAATACCCGTGCTAATGTTACGTTCCGTTGTCTTGCAAGGAGGCCTTGGCGGCCAAGGATGCTGCCACCGCGCATCCGGACTTCAACATCGTGGACAAGGTGGTCCGTGCCGTAGCAGAGAACCTTGGTCACTCTTCTGTTAATCACGCCCGCTTTCAAGAGCTTCAGGAGGTCATTTGCGAGACCCACCTCGAAGTCCAAGGCATCAAGGACGTCCGATGGTTGTCTCGTGGTGACGCCATCCAGCGCGTGGTGAAGGTGTTTCCTGCAGCAGTGATGGTCTTGCACGAGACAAACAAGAAGATGTATCAAGTCGTAACGAGCTACAAATTCCATTTCCTGCTGTTCTTCCTTGCTGATGTTCTGAAGGAGCTCAACCTTCTCAGCTTGAAGTTTCAGCGGCGCCAGGTGAGCAGGTTTCTCGACTTACTGTTTGTTGTTTTACTATACTTTTAATAACATCCTGCTGTTGCAACCCCGTTTACAGGTCGACGCAACCCATGTGCTGCCGATGGTGCACAAAACCACCTTACTGCTGCACACACGTTACCTCGACTGCGACGACGCGACTTTTGGCCAGGGTGGAGACGCGTTGGGCCCGTTCCTCGACAAGCACGCATCAGGGGAGTTCCGTGAGGTCCTCGTTGCTGGCACAGCTTCCGACGGCACATCGGTCAGCCATCGATACCGACTGCACGAGGAGAAAATCAAGGGGCAGAAAAGTGGTGTGGACCACCAAGCGTGTTTGGGGCTGGCGCGCGAGTTCATCTCGACCTTGGTTGGTCGGCTCGACTACCGCCTCAAGGATCTTTCACACCTCGACGGGGCGAAGCTGTTCAAGCAGGGATCGTATCCCAAGAACCAGGCAAAGCGTGAGCGAAGGCTAGGCCAATGGCTCCAGTCTCTTCGCAACATGTTCAAGAAGAAGCCAGAAGACCCTGATACTCTACTAGGTGCGTCAAATGCCGGGAATGTGCTGCTATAGTCTTCAGAGTTCTCTTACAGCTGCATGTTTCAACCCTTTATGTTCTCCTGTCTTACTGTCCCCATGCGCACCCCAACCGCAGGCATCAACTGGGCGAGAGCGCAGAGGAAGATCATCACCTTTTCCACAATCATGGCCTCACACCAAGGGGATGTTGGGTTTGCGGACGGCCTGAAGCTCATGCTGTCCTCCCCTGACTGGGCGACATGCTACCCGAACCTCGTCCACCTGTGGATGGCCGTCGCCGTGCTTCCGCTCAGTACCGTCGAGTGTGAGCGCGGCTTTTCACGGCAGAACATCATCAAAAGCTGGCTTCGCGGGAACCTGTGCGACGCGAAGCTAGGAGAGCTGATGGCCGTCTCGCTCCTTAACTACGACATGGAGTGGCCCGAGTTACTGAGGAGGTGGAATGCTTCCAAGAAGCGCAGGCCTGCGAATGATGTGCTGATGGCGTCCGGGGAGAGACCGAGCAAGCGTGCGAAGAAAAGGTCGGCCGCAGCTGCAGCAGCAGCAGCAGCAGCAGCACTGGCAGCAGCAGAAGCGGCTGCTCGAGAAGCGGCCCTAGCAGCAAAGCAGCAAGGATGGATGCTGAGTACCCGTGGCTTAGTAGGAAAGAAAGGGCCACTGTCCCAGAGTCAGTGGTTAGCGAGGATGATACTGATGATAGCAATGAAGTGTACGGCTCTAGTGACTCTGACAAAGTCCTTTGCTACTGCAGCTAGGTTGTTAGGTACTATGAGTAGACATGCTGGTAGGATTACAGTAGGTTGACTTTTAACCCTAATTTTTTTTTCGTCTTATTTATCAGACTAGAAAAACTATTCCAGCTTATAATGCAGACCATGTAAATTTCGTCATCCGAGCGTAATGTTGGAAACAATAAGTCTTAGTGCGCTTCTGTCGTGTCAAAACCCAAGACACTAGCGAAGCAGTCCGAATCGAAGCAGCGAGACAAACCTCGGAGGTTAGGGTAACCGCCTGGAGGTTACGAGAAAGTCAAAGGTCAGCGACCTTTGACTCGACAATTACAGCGCGACAGTTAAGGACACACAACTGACTCGTTACAGAGCAGTTGCCCGAGTCGCACTGTATTGAATCGCAACAGCAATACAGTTATCTATCTATTCGTATTCCCTGTACTCTTATATAAAACCTTGTATTTGCTTGTTTAATTTAATCCACTTTGCTCTCACACACTAGTGCAAGGTCGGTTCACAAACTTCATTAAACGCTTCCGCTATTACAAATATCCTACCCAGAGTTATCCTCTGCAAAGATCCTTAAGGGCTTTCTCAGCCCAACACGTAAGTCGGGGGAAATTTTTTTCAGGGTACTGTCAGACAGCCCCAAAACCTAGCGAGAGCCCTGTACGGTATGGTGGTGTATGTTCTGCACACTGCTCCGCCGAACAAGCAAACTCACTGGGCTGCTTAAAGGCGGCACAACAGCGTAGGTACATACGTTGAAGAAGACTGCAGGGCGAAAGCAGGAGGTTTCAATTTTGTTGAGCCTTCACTAGGAGCTCGAGTATGCTTGTAACGAATGTCAATGCAGTGCATAATCTGCAGCAAGCAATCCTGCAATTGTAGATCTGCGTGTATGCAGAATAAGCATGCTCTGTTCAGAAAGTGCAGAATGAATCATGACACAGGTGCACACCCAAGAGCAGTGGGCATACAAGCAGAATGTGTCATTTGGATAGTGCTTGCAGCCTTGCACAAAGGGAGTCCTACATTAGACGACGTCAGGCAGGACCGTAAACCTCGCGCACTTGACTGTGCACTACCGTAAGTTCTGCCATGTATGGGAGGCTCCATCGGAACCCAAT